TTTCCCCCACCTTCCCAAGACCCTGAGCTGCATTTCTTTGGTATACTTGTTTTTTGGGAATTCTTCATTTTTCAAGAGAGCATACTTTGGAAAAAGACAAGCATTCACAACAGGCAACAAGCAAATGCTGACAGAATACACTTGATGAAGCATTTTCTGTAGTTCTCCCCATTTCAATTAACATTCCCAATATCTCTTAAAGTCAGTTTCAGTTGAACTTTTGAGAACTTAAACTCACTCACCGCTTCTGTGATTCCACAAATCCCTGCATTAGTCACAGCATTTGTTACTACTTCAGATGACACTTTTTCATTTGTAATAGACCTATGGAGAGTAATACTCTTGAGGATCTGCATCTCTAGATCCTGCAGCGAAGTCTGCAGATCACTTTTGCTCACAAAATTGGACGTAAGCCACTGGAGAAGCGATTTGGGGAAGTCTTGTTGTTGATCACCAAAAAGCATTAGCCTGACAGATTCTTTGACCTGGGCATCTACCTGGTAGAAGTCATTAACAATTATAAGAGAAATTATTAGTCTTTATAAACCATTAAGTAATTCCATATATATATTAGGCACATGTGACATCAATACATACATTCAGTACTACATAGAAATTGAGATTTCACATGTGTTTTAACTACATTGAGCTACACTGAAATACCAGACCAGTCAGGTGTGCAGAAGAACATATGGAAAAATCTGGATGGTTCACTGTCTTGGCAAACAAGAAACACGTAAAGTTCTAGAAAACTGTGACGTTTACATTAGGGCTACAACTCTTCAGAATAAAAAAGCTGGCTGCCACAGTTCAAAGAAGGCACTGTGGCAGCTCTGAGGGGAGCAATGTACTTGTTAGGCCTACTTCAGGAAGCTGATTAATCACTCACTTTATGCTTTGACTCCATTCACAATAGCTAACTCATAGTTGAGCATTATCACAAGATGGTACTTTAGTCAAAGTTATAATCCCGTACCAACACTTATTGTTGCATTTTGTTGGCTACATTCTAGTCAGACCTATAAAAGGCTTCAAAAGCATATAAGTCTGAATTTTTTTTTTTAAGAACAGCTCTCAGATCACAAAACGAACTGACTTTTACACAAGAAACCCAAGTTTCTTTTCCATATTTCCATGGTTTAGGCAAAATACGTCAGTAAGAACAGCAAAATACTGTATACCGAATGGCTACTGCATCTTATCTTAAATGCAAAAAACCCTGCCATGGTAGAAAACAAGCCATAAACTCCTGTCTGGTAAAGTGTTATGCACTAATGCAAAAAAATTACAGTATCACTACATAAACCACTACCATTCTTTAACATAAGTATTACCCCCACATCATTTATTGCAGTGCATTTCAAGAAAGTTAGTGAACAAAATCAAGTAGTACCAAGTTTTACTGGGACAGTTACAGAAGTCACAGAACCTACTTTTTCATGAATGACATCCATTTTCTCACAACTTGTCTTCACACTTTCCCTGGTTAACAGCTCTGATTTCATCTGAGACAACTCTAGTTCTAGCTTTTTAACTTTGGACAAAAGTTGGTTATGTTCATCATCATCTCTGACAAAAACAAGGAGTCAATAATTAGGAAAGAGTAGTTTGAATCATTACATCAAATTCCAAAGCTGTGAGAACATACTTGTATAATACAAAGTGCTTTCCTAGTTCAGTTATTCACCCTGACAGACACTGTGAGCTTGCACTTCCTAGGGGGTGTTATTTAAAGCACACTTAGGCTTAATATATTCAAAGCAAAGTTGTAAACAAATCCATTGGTGATGACTTTAGAACATCACCAGGCTGACAAGTCAAACTTACATAGATTTTTGGGAATTTAAGGTTTCTGGCAAATCAGGTTTGCCAGAAATTTAAGGTTTCAGTCAAACTTTATTTGCAGGAGTTTGCCACTGGTTAGAGTGAGTTTCATGTTCCCTTACTTAAACCAGGATAACTTTAGAGGCAGGTGTTAAGTTGAGCTTAAGTAGCAGGTCACATATGACCAATATAAGTCAGTGTTCAGTGCTTGCTATGGAAAAAAAGTTATCAGCCACCATCCTAAAGCCATTTTACATTTAGATCTAATTCAAATGACAATTCAACAAGTAAGTGTTTCTTTTCCACTTCCTAATGGGGAAACTACTTAAAGTGATGCAGTTTTTATCCTGGTATTACACAGTTTGCAAACCAAAAACATAGACAAAGGATAAAATTGATACAACTCAAGAATCTTAATATAAAGCCAATTGAAAGCAGTTGCTGTGTACTTCACTAAGCAATTTGAGGAAAAATTCTAATGCATTTTTAAGAGTATGAGAAGCCACTCATTCTCCTCCTCTATATAAAGAGCTTTCTCTAGTAAAAAATGTACTTGTAGGACTGCTCACACACTGGAAGTTGGCCTTGTGATGATGTTCAGCATCACAGTTAAAGTCTACTGTAAGACAGAAGTATTCTTGCTGACAACACAAACTCTTAAGGTCAGTTAACAGGCACAAAGAAAAGCATTGTTGTATTTCAAAGAAGCACTTGTGATGTCATCATTAGTTAGCATCAGAATTGAAAAAGCAAAATATATTTGAAAAAGTGCTTGTACCTCGTTGTTTTTGCTTTTGCTATGTCAAGCTCCGTCTGGATGTCCTAAAAATTACAGAAGTTAGTTTTAATATATACAAAGAAACACAAGTGACAGAGGATAAAGAATGTTACAGGAAAATGACACATTTCAGCACATTTAGCATACAGGACTGTGTCCTCCTCACACTAATGTTTGTGCCTCTGTATAATAAGATTTTATTCCAAATAGAACCTGCTTCAGTGGTCAAATTAATAATTTTTAGTCTTTGGACTGAAATCCTCTTCAAGAAGCGGAAGCAAGAACACAAGTTTTGAGACAGTCAATTGTAATAGCTAGAGTAAAGCAAACTGGGGTTTGGGATAGCCAACAAAGACCAGTCTGTTTTATCAAAAGGTTGCAATTACAGTGAGTTAGCAAAGCTAGTTTTTAATACCTTGGATTCAGCAGAGAGCTTTCCAAGAAGGTCTTCCAGTACCAGGATGCGCAACTCATGTTCTTGATGTAAAGCCAGGAAGTTAGTCTTAAAAAACAGGGAAGAAGAAGGTGGTGTATTTTCTTTCTGAGTACAAATAGCAAAATTGAGGTTTTCTACAAAGTATAATTTTTATTTAATTCTGTGAGCGTTTAAGTGACTTATTGTGCAGGTAATGTGAGAAATTACAGAGTCTGTAATATAAAGGCCTGATTCAGCAGTAGTAGGTTATAGACAGGGAAGTTTACCCTCCTTTGTCACTAGTCCTTCCTATACTCATCTTTCTCTGTATGAAAACAGGATAAATCCATCTGCCTTTCAGCAGTGTAAGATTCTGCTTTAGACCATCTATCTGAATTAATTCTTTGTCAGTAATAACAGAAGAAGAATAAAAGCCCATGACTACTCCCTGGCATTTACTATTTATCAGTTAATTCTGTAAAAGAGAAAGAACCCTAAAGTCAAATCTCTAATAATCTGCATTATTAAAACAGAATACTTTGATCAGTATCAGAAAGTATCAATAACTGACTATCTTACCTTTTCCTCCAGTTTCATATCTTTAACATGCTGACCTATCACATTTTTTATTAGTTGCAATGTTTCACTTTTGTCACTCATCTGGGCAACCTGATCTTGAAGATTTTGGAGTAGAAGCATCACTTTGTTGTATTTTTCATCATGGTGATGGCATCTGTCAGACATGAAGACCATTTGCTTTTCCAGCTCGCTTATACGACCAGAATCAAAGATATTTATGGTATCCTACAATATAAAAAAAATTTTTTTAATATATAAAATCAAGACATTTATTTACATTACCCTTGTGTGTCAATAAGTTATTGAAAAATATTGAAGACATGGAAGTTAAGAAGTCTTTATAGATATGAAAATTCTTCCCTGGACCGTTCTCCTTTACCTTTGGAGGTTGCACAGAGTGAAAAGAATCAGCTTGTGGTTCAGGAACACGAATAGAGTCATCCATTCTCTGTATTCTATCAACACTTGTCCAATTCAATGAAGGTAATAATGAAATGAAGGCATCAAAACCCCAGAACCATATACCTATATCAGACACAAAAAGCAGAAAGGGTGTTCAAAAGAATTCTCCCTTAGGACTGCTCCTATCTACAAATTGTCTTCTTACTGAAGGACACAAGCTTCCTCGAGTTTGCAAGGTAGACATCACACAGTGGACACTACTCCAGTCTAAATTAAACATCAGCATGAGCCAGCCTTAAAATTGTTAAGTCAGGCACTCAAGAATGTTAGGGAACATCCATCAGCACCACTCACACAGTTACATGGCAGGCAACCTGCACTTTTATGTATCATGATATATTCTTTATCTCATACTACTGTATTCCTGGGACCCAGCTCTCATACAGTGACTAAGACAGGCCACACTCCCTGAAGGCAGATGTAAATACTGCTTTTTATCTCAATGGAAAATATTTTGCCTTATACCCTACTTACTACACACCACATTGCATAATATCTAATAAAACTTGGATGAAACCTCAGTTTCCATGGAAACAACCTAGCATTTCATGAAAATTACACTTATCGTACAATATCTTAGTGAGAAGCAGCATTTTCTACATGGGGTAAGTTCTTCCTTTCTTATTCTCCCTAGTACAGAGGATTTTGAATTCCCACTGTAAGTTCTGAGAAACTTCATCTTCTCCTCAAAGCAGCTACAAGTTTTTTAGGACACACAAAGACATGAAACTTCTTTTCAGAAACAGCCCAGCACTTTCAGTAAATATTTTAAACTGAGTTTGTTTATTTCAGAGTAGACAGGTGGCCTGGAATATTGCCAACTAACAAGTCTAAATAGCAGTATTTTAAGCAACTAAAGCATAGTCTGGAGCAAAGGAAAGACTTAGGATGAGTTAGTAAAAGAACTTAACCACACTTTTATGGAGATTGACAACAATCAAATTAGTCAGTACACAGCCTACTCTTTACAACCTCATTGCTACTCCTATGAAAGGAGGCAAAGAAAAAAGGACGTCAGTGAATTTACTTACTTACTCTCTCTGCCTAAAGAGCTCTATGAAATGAAATCAAAAGTATTCCTTTCATGGCAAAGGGAAAGCTCACTGACTTGTCAGTACTTTGAAAACTTGACTTACTGCCCTGTTCCTAAACAAACTTTTCTTTTTTATTTCTGCATCTTCTTTATAAAACAAAATTTCAACTAAAAATGCTATTTTGGGACAGCTGTGTTAAGCATACACTGATTTGTATTATAACTAAACGATTCACATACCCAGTAGAAACAGGAGTGGGATAAGGAACAGTAACAACTTGGAGATCTTTGGAAGGCACCTAGAGAAAGAGGAAAATTTACATGAAGCAATATATCATATTTTATTGTTTTATATTACAACTGGGTAAATAATTAGCTCAGAAACCAATTTTTTCAAAGGATACACACCTTCTTAGAAGAAACACCTTGAGCAAAGACATCAAAGTAACAAGTTGATACCACCCAGTTCTAAGCAACCTGAATATGCCAGAAGCTGCCCTCCCTAGAAGACAAAAAAGTGGTAGTGTGAAATGCAATTACTGTGGCACGTGTTCAAAGAAACCAAGCAGAGGGACATGCAACTGCAGCCAAGAATACCTTGCACAGCAGAGCAATGCATGAACACAGGCAACACATGCAGCTTATTAACACCTAGGTATCACAAGTGTGACAGCGTTATAACATCAGCTACTCAACAAAACCAACAGCCATGCAAAAAGATGAAATGCTCATTTGTTATAATGATGCTTTCTTGCCAGAAATTCAGTATTAATGGTTTGAATCTGAGTTACCATACACTGAAGACCTCAGTATATTTCAAGAAATGCACAGATTAGCAGCATTAGTTTTTGCAAAGAGGAATACCAAGACAGGAAGCAACTACCAAACCAAACACACCCCATTATTCTCGACACCCCATATTCTGTGCTATTCACACACTCATTCCCTCATGAAACAGTCTGGTTAGTCTCCCATTATGCCTGTGAACAGAAATATACCCTCTCACTACGCACGTTTTGGTCAATAAAGAAAGGAAAGCAGCACATGCATTTCAAGATACAAAAGCTACAGCATAAGCACAGTTGAAATCATGGAAGCCACGTGCTACAGCCTCCTAGTTTGTCAAAAGGAACAGGCAAGGCACACACACACGGATTAGGATAGTAACCTGGAGAGAGAACGGCGAGCCAAAGTAGAGACAACACCTTCTGAGACACAAGCCATCCCGTTGCTCCCACTGTTTGCAACACGTGAAGCATAAAGTAACCTAGATCATAACAAATTAACTCCATGTGGTAACACACACACCAACGAGCTTCAGGTTCTTCTGCAGGACATGAAGTAAAACACTCGAGCCCCTGCCCGTTACATGTCCAGCAGAATTTTACACCGTGCCTTGCAGTAACCTACAAACTTGGTTCTTCACTATTTAAAAACAAAGCAAGCCACTAATAAATATGAAACCAAGTAAAACCAAATCAATTTAGAAACAGAATTCTCATGTACAGAAATAAGCAGAACGATCAACAGCATCTGTGCAGTTAAAATACCACTTTTCCAAAATCAAAGTTTACATTTTGTAGGGTGTTTATCTAACAATGCCATGCTAAGTGTAACAGAGAACAGCAAAAAAGTGCTACCAAAACAACGAGTTTTAAGCACATCATTACTTTAAAAGCATCTTATTTGTTCCAAATTACACATCGGGTTCACTATCTAGGTTCATGTGTAGAAGAGAACAATTAAAAGTTTTCAATCCTAGTGAAAGAATTAAATAATGATGTCTAAAAAATGCTGATAAATAACAGGAAATATTCCCTACTAAAAGTTACAAGCAGTAAATTTTCATTAAACTGAATATTCCCAGGGATCTTCAGTCTGTCAGCTTTGAGTCTCTTAAAAAGAAGAAAAACAACAACAAAAAACCAATGCACTGTAACAAAATGCTGTAACTTAAAGCCCACTGAAGCCAACAATTACTCTATCTAAGACTAGGACTGTTCGTTCTACAGAGCAAACTACATAGTATACATTTAGAAAATAATCCTACATTTTTAGATTAGCAGATATGTCTGGGTTAATCTGAGGGATTATAGATATACCAACCCAATATTTTGCAAAGCATTTAGGTGACTGAAGTGTCTCAAATCATTTTCCTTTGCTGAATAAAGAGCACTCAACAGATTCTTGATGTCTCTGTCATTCAAGCTAGGGAACGCTCATCTCACAGGGAAGATTCTATCCCTATATAAGATTCCTGTAAAAATTGACTATCACTAGAACAAAAATAAAATGTTAAAAACCCTTAATTCAAATAATCTGCATACCAATAACTCATACCTTGGTTTCATTTAAAGGTGGTTTTTCAACCTACTGAGCATATAGACTTCCCCAAAGTGCAATAAATTAACAATCTGACTTGTTCTTTCTAACATACAGGATGTATGTTGTCCCTACACCTTGTTTTTACTAACAGGCAAGCAGTGGGTCAAGCTTGTACAAAAGCCAGTATCAGAGCAAGAAGTCAAACAGGAAAGGCGTTAACTAAGTTAATTTTCTAGACATTTTACACTTGTAATCTACTCTGACAGATTAAGGTTAAAAAAAACCCAAACAACAAAACAAAAAAACCCAAACAAAAAACCAAACCAACAAACACAAACCAATATGTATGATTAACATTGTGAGAATGAGATGCAAAATAAAAGCAAAGGAAAAAAGGTCCAAGTCAACCTGCATAAGAAAAGGTGTGCCAAATGGTCCTTGCTACCCTTTTAGCCCATGAGGATTGCATGTGGTCTGTGGTGTGTATTTCAAGATGTTTCTTCCCCTTACAGTCATCACCTGTTGGTTGTGGTAACAGTAGATTAATGGGACAAAGCCAGGATTAAATCAAGATTGTTACAAGAGAACTTGAACAAGTCTACTTCATAACATCAGTTATCAAAACACAAACTACTAAGCAGACTTTAGTGGAGTAAAACTTGCTTGGGGATACTACAGTACACCAGGCAATCACTATTCTCCCCCTTACATCTCAACTGCAAAACAAACATTTACTTTGTAGCTTCCACAGAGTCATGGGGCATCTATTACTATTATAGCAACAACCTGGTGTACAGCCCAAGGCCAAAAGACAACGTCAATCATGACACTTACATATTGATTCCTCATTTACACCCAGATGGCTATCTTCTCTGTAATACTCATTTACATTCATGCTTCCACAGTAGTCTGAGTGAGCTGCAACACATTCAAAAAGCATACATGGAAAGTAACTCTCAAGTTCAAAGCCTTTCATATATGCACATTTTAGCTAGCATATATGCAGATTTTAGCTAAACTGGCTTGGTTCACCATTCACTCACAGGAAACCTGAAAAACAATCAAGGAAGCAGCCTACTGTGTGCAATCTTTTTGCTTCTTTAAATAACAGGGGGCCTTTTCAGTCAAAAAAAACTTCCTGCTTCTTTTCAGATAATAAAGTTAGTAAAAAAGCCCCTAAGTAACAACTCATCAAATCCTGAGTCCCTATTCTCATCATTCTGTCAAACAGGCCAACCATTACATCTTTGTGCTTAAGAGCTTAAAAGACAGAAAAGACGACATTAGCAAGTCATAAGGCACCGAGGTAGAGAGAACAAAGTTTTATTCACACACAAAAATCAGTTACCTTCTGCCTATGGCAATTTAACTTCCCTGGCAGAGCATGTATTACAGAAGAGAAAGCACCAAAGAAGAATAGAACATTTTCAGGGAAAACAAGATGTGCTGTAATGTAGTGCAGAGTGATGATGGCAGTTTTAGTTTTGCAAGATAGATCTAATCGAGCTTTAAGTGCACGGTGAGCTTAATGGTAACAAGCTATTCCAAACCTAAAGACATTGAAAAGTTAGGATTTGACACTATCATACCAAACAGTTTTTAAAAATCAACTTAAGTTTCTCAATTTAAACATTACCTGCTACCACTTCCAAGTGAAAATCAACAAGTGAATCTTAACTGTAACACAGATCTTGCATACGTGAATCCTGATACTTCTAAACAGGGGGAAAGTATGAAAAGGGTAGCAAAACTGAGATAAAAAAGGGAGAAAGACAGAAGCCAGCCAAAAGACTACAGAAGAAGAATGCTGTAGTGCCAAAGAAGAAGTCCATCAGAAAAAACCCCAACACACACACTCTGGCTTTGTGTGGAGACCAAGGAAGACAACTGAAAAGGTACCTTTAAATTCATAACCCAGCTTCAGCAAAACCATTTGTAATAGTTGCACTAATAGTGATGCAAAAGATGTTGCAGCATGTTTGACCAATCGCAGAATCTTACTCATGTAGAAATAGGTTCCTCCTATTGAAAAAAACAGTGTGAATACAAATTATTCACCTACATAAAGATGTACTTCTATTCTCTGGTGACCATTAGCTTGTGGAAGAGTGAGGATGAAGCATGGAAAGCCTTTGTTTAGCCAGGAGTACGAAACTTAAGCAAGCGTGGTTTGAAAAGCCTGGATGCATTATGTATTACAGCAAAGCCTTTGTAACTACACATCCTAGGGGGAAACACCTTTGAGACAGGATGTATGACTTCAGCAAGAATACCTTTCCTTCATGAGAATTAAGAACTCTAAATAACAACTAATTCCTTGTTTACAGAACTCAGGGTTTCTCAATTATGTGAGCTATTGATACTGATTTTGTGGGTCAAAGCTCCAAAGAGACAAACTAAATTCTGATTCTGGATTTGAAAGGGTGAGGACTTTTCCTCACCTTCTCCACCTTTACACTGGAGGAAGTTACTGCGGTGGTTTGCCTCAAGTGCTGGAGACACACACTTCTGCAGAGCCACAGGAACAAAGCTGCAGTCCCCCATACTGCTGCTTTCCTACAATCAGTCACACTCCAAAAACCTGCCATGATTATGCACCCCTTCTCCTGCTCTCCCCAAGTTTTACTCAAACTACTGGATTAAAGTTCAAAGAAATGTACTGAGATGAGTTCCCTGTAATTTTTTTCTGTGCATATACAAACTCAGGAGCACAGAAAACAGTTTTCATACAGTGTCACTTTTAGTTCATTATACTAAGCCAACAGAATTCCTACCTGTGCTACACATTTAAAGTCACACCTTATACTCAACAAACTGATTTCTTGCTACTGAAAACTCACTTCATTCAAGAATAACACACCAACAGAATCCCAGAATTGCTTCCTTTCTAATTCAAGATCACTCAAGAAATAACTTCTTCATGATAACTGAGGACTACCAAGGATCAAGAAATTCACAATGCTATGCAAGAGGCAGGCAGACAGTCAGGACACTGAGGACAACCAGCCACAGAACAGAGATTGCCTTGGAAAGACAGAACTGTATTTACAGCAGATTCATTTGTTTTACAGTTAGGAATGCAGTCACTAGGAAGTCTATTTGGAAACAGTTTTTCCCTTTGGAGTTCAATTTTTCAAGTAGCTGAGGTTTAGCTTCTAAAAACACTCTAATAAGTTACAAGGTAAATCAGGAGCAAAAAAATACCCCCCCAAAACAAACAAAAAAGCCACCAAAACAGAAAGCAGGAAGGTATCTCAGAGATTTCTTGAATAACTGAAGCTCTACAAAGTAACAATTCTGCTCAATCTTGACAGTTTTCATAAGAAAACAAACAAACAAACAAAAACCCCAAACAAACAGAAAAAACCCGGACCATAGAAAAAGTTTCTACCTGAAAACCCTGACCAAAAATCTCATAAACAGACACACACAGATCCGATACCAGACCAGGAGACTCTTATGATGATTGTTGGTTGGAACAGCCCACTGTGTTCCAAATCAGTTTGTAAATATAAGTCATTGAGATACCATGGCATTTTAATTTTCAAACTGTTTAATTCGCAGAGCAGCATTTTTTTTTTTTTAAGTTGATAATTATTTATCAGAAGCTAACAAGGACATAAAGTTTCAACTGATATAGAAGAGGGTATTTCATACAAGGTCATCTCTGGAATTAGTTACTGGTAAATTTAGCAGGGTAGGAAAAGTGCATAAATAACACTACATGGAAAATGCATCTGTATACCATTCTGCTATCCAGATAAAACACAAGAGAAAGTAACTTACTAGATGCATGTCTCTGGCTCCTATCCCTGGTGTAAATTCTAGAAGATGGCACATGAGAAGTTGAGTATGTTGTAAGAACCTCCCTCCGATCAGAAAGCATGCTGCAGTCATTGCAAGTGTAGCCGTTGATCATTGTGGTCTGTGTTTCTTCTGCTGTTATATCACCATTTTCCTGCATCAGGGTAGAATCACTACCTACCAAACCAAGAGTGAAACGTTCAGTGCATTGATGGGAGTGTACTGCCATCACCAATTACCATTAAATACAATGCATATGGAAGGAAAAGGAAAGTGTAGTTACCTCTAGGGTCACCTTCATCATCAAGACCTTCAAAGGAAAAAAAAAAATTAAAAAATTGGTCCCAAATATAAGGAAGTCCTGTAATCAACTACAGTATCAGATATTAACTCAAATTAAGAGTCCCACTAATTTTAAGACTGCAAAGAAAAGCCACTTTATGATTAGTATTTAACATATTTTGCAGTCTACCACATGAATATTCAGACATCAGTGTAGTAGGGTAACAGTCAGTGAGAAGCATTCTACCACAGAAGTGGCAAACAAAATAATATGAATGACAACTACACCTTTTCTTAGCTCCCATGTGACTTTAAAGCAGCTACTCACAAGTTCACGCTGTTTCTGTTGTTTGGTAACTACTCTGGTACCACTATATTTTAAAATTCTGTTTTAAGAGCCAGGTAATCTAAAGTTTAGAACACATCCTACTAAGATTGAAACATTCTTTACACTAGGACTCTGTCACAAGCACACCGACTAGGAACAAAGTCTGACTTGAGAGATATAGTAAGTTGTTGATCTTCCTCTGCACAACACTTCTTACTTAGACAATATTTTATGTGAACAACTCCCTATTCTCCTCTTCAATGAGAAGAGTAGATTCCATGAAAGCATACTCATACATACCTGCAAAAATAAACCAGCCAGCCACACACAAAAACCCTCTTGGGAAACCTTGAAATGCCACTAATTTGAAACCTTCAGATTAAGTGTGTTAAACTGAAACACACTTCTGCCTATTAACAAGCAAGAAAATGCTTTTCCTTTGGCTTTTCAAAGCCAAGTTACAAGTTTACCATTCTTTAAATACACACATTTCTCTGCACATCTCTATGCACATTTTGAAGAAAAGTAAATATAATAGCTAATTACATCTATACAATCTATGGTGTTGCATCCCAAAATCTGTTTGCTTGGCATATTAACTTGTCTGTGCAATGTGTCCTGATGTTGACTATGCCAGTAAGTCAAGTTTACACACTGGACTGTGAACTTCCAGTAGGCATCTTAGCAAGCAGATATTTACAGCAAAAGAGTAAGCACATCCATGTTGTTCCATCCCGCTCCTGTTTGAGGGCAGGATGGAAAAACGGATGGGGAAAAAGAAGGAGGATGTGGACATATGTTTCTATACACTAAACCAGCAGCAGTTTTCACAGTCTGATATGAGCAACAGCAATGATTACTCACCCCAGAAATGATCCACTTCTGTCCGCTCTCGAATCAAAGATTCATCCAATACACTGGATACCATGGATGTGTCACTGCCATGGCTATTGAAACTGCTTTGGCTAAAAATGGAAGAACTGGACAGGTTTTGCCTTGGCGTGTGTCTTACACTGCCAGACTGTTTATTGATACTTTTGCGTTGCTTCACAGTCCTAGGAAACAAAGGAAAGATAAATAAAACACAGCACTGAAGATGCAAGATTCTCTGTCTCTCTCATTTTAAATGAAAAAAACAGTTAAGTTATTCCAACACTGATGTGACTAGACAGTTCAAATCAGGTTTAAAAGAAAACCCTCACGTTCAAGAATCTATACTTTTGCAAAGACTTCATTGCAAACCACACACTGAACATAACTTTCAGAGTATGGCAGTAAACACTGAGAACAAAGAATAAACCAGCAGGTAACCTATGTTTGTACTACTGTGTTCAAAGAGGAAGTCTCAAGACTCCAACAAATACATTCACTTGTAATGATGAAAAATGCTTACCTAGAAGACTGTTCTCTGAAGGACGAGGTTCCGGCATAAGGACTGTCATAGAGATCATTTTGTGCCTCATCTGATTTATTAAATCCTGCAGCAGCTAACCGTAAACTACGCCGTGACATTCTTGGCGAATCAAATACTGGATCTATTTTGTTTTCAGTCTCAAAATCCAAAGCAGATGAAGAATAACTTGAACTGCAGCAAAATAAGAAGAGCAAAGTTACTAGAGTTTAAGAGAAAATTGCCCTAGTAACAAACACACCCTTCAAGCTAGTCTAAGCTTCCATTAAAAGCAGTTTATCTGGGGTTATGGAGCAATTCCCACAAGATATGCCATGCAACCCAAATAACTTAGAAGTATGTAGATGCTCAAGGTTCTCTGAAATAATTCATATTACAAGTTTAACAACTGAAAGCAAATCACAGTTAGAAAGAAAGAACCACCATGGAAACCATGTTTGAAGTTGAGTCAGAGCAAGCATTTGTTATAGAGCCTCAGACACACAGTTCTTCTGGGACCAGTTTGAGAGAGGAAGCCATTCATGACAGTTTCTTCACCACACCTAGCAGCAAATTAAAAGTCAAGATCCACTCTATATTGCAAAGTAAAGATTCATTTTGAGTCAAAGTTCATTTCTTTTTATTTTTTTGTTTGCCAATTCCTTGTTTTGAGAACCAAAGATCCATATGCCACACAACTCTGAATTTCCATCTTCCACCAAGTCGGAACTTCCTCCCTTTATGATACTTAAACACTTCTCTACTTTAGCTATATTAGTTTAACTACCATTACTTTAAAAAAAAAGTAGTTTTAAAAAATGTCTTAATTTAACACAAATAATTAGGAATATTTAACTCTGAACAACTAAAAATTGTTTAGACTTTTCATCCATTTTTCTGTTTTATCCTACAGAAGCAAGTTTACATGTAGAAAAGCTTCATTCACACTATTACCCCAGGAAATCTAATCCACACTTTTACACTGGATTCTCTCAGAACCTCCATGAAAACTTACAATGAAGGCAAAGCAGCAACAAGACAAGGCAAACGTGAACAGATGAGTCAGTAAGAAATACATTTAGTAAACCAGAAGTTTAGCCTAAAGCAGAGTACTCCTGCTTACAATGGAAGGAAACACTCAGTTATGTAACAGAGCAGAGCTGGTCCCCACAGGAACAGCCCAGGTTATAGACCCGCTGTGACAGAGCATCTGAAGTGCCCTAGGCCAGCTTGCTCAGGGAGCCTGAGCCCTCCTGGGCCACAGAGACACAGAGCTGTAGCAGCAGTTACTTCAATAATCCTGGGGTTTTGTTTTCTTTGGGGTTTTTTGTTGTTTGGGTTGGGGGTTTTTTTGTTGTGTTTTTGTTTGGTTTTTTTTTTAAAGAGCTGAGCAAGGTATTGTTAACAAAAGCAGCTCCTTCTCCCCAAAATCTCAAACAAAAACAAACAAGCAAATTAGGTCTGAATGAGTAGATTCTACTGTGCAATCTGTAACTGAAATGGGAGCTTTCCCTTTAAAAAATAAACAGCTACTAAAAAATATATTTGGGCAAAAACAATTTAATGGAAATACTTTTCTTACACGATCGTTAAAGACCCCAGAACATTACCAAGTAATAATACATGTGTTGTAGAATCATAGACTCGTTTAGGTTGGAAAAGACCTTTAAGATCAAGTCCAACTGTTAACCTAGCACTGCCAAGTCCACCCCTAAACCATGTCCCTAACTGCCACACCTACACTACTTTTAAATCCCTCCAGGGATGGTGACTCAACCACTTCTCTGGACAGTCTGTTCCAATACTTGACAACCCTTTTGGTGAAGAAACTTTTCCTAACATCCAGCCTAAACCTCCCCTGGCACAACTTGAGGCTGTTTCCTCTTGTCCTATTGCTTGTTACTTGGGAGAACACAGACCCACCTCAGTACACCCTCCTTTCATGTAGTTGTGGAGGACAATAAGGTCTCCCCTCAGCCTCCTTGTACTACTTTGGCATACAAGTCAGTTAACACCAGAAGGCCTAGTAGCTACACTTACAGTGGTGATTTAATTCTGACAAGGTGGGTGCTTTAGAAGTGAGTTTCTTGATTGTTCCACAATGCAAAGTAAAGCAGGTAAGATGGGACTGTGTCAGAGCACATGAGCTGCGCTTCTTTCAGCTAAAAAAAAAAACCTAACCCAGACAATGCACTGCAGGAAAGCATCCAGTTACTCCAGCAGCAAATGGGCAATCAGCCCACAGGACCAGACCAGAGCTTGTCCAAAATAACTTCTTTGATTGCCCAGAGGTGCAGAGATTTGGTGGCAGGTCTCCAGCACTATCTGTGTGATCTTACTGGTCTGCCCCGCTAACGCTGCCACATGCAGTGCAGCCCCGTGTGAGGCACACGCCTGAGCACAGCTCCAAACAACCCCAGCACACAGCACTATATACACTATGCTTATTAATCCTTGCTTACATTTGAGTTGAAGGGGGAGATGAAATAAGACACAAGCCTCCTCATGTGACAACAGATTTAGTCTACATTTGATTAGGTATGAAAGGATATAGTTTTTACAGTTTTCATAAATATTGTTTGGATAGCTTGCATTCTGACAGATGTGGGGTGAGAACACGGGCTAAATACGGCTCCCCCCGTTGTTCATTCTGAAGGAGTCCGAGCCACAACAGTTTACTATCGAGTCCCTCCCTAAACAGTTGTTTCAGAACCGAGTTTTGCTATTTACACTTGCCACCATGCATTTGCTTTTCCTCATCTTCACCCAATGTTTCTTACAGATACTCAATTCACAAGAACACAAAGTACACAGGACAAGCTGACAGCTGCGACCAGCCTCAGTTTGTTTCTGTTTATGAACACTTGCTGTTATTAAGTATCTCAATGAGCATTTATATCAGTTTGGGTTGAATACACAGCTTGGAACTGAGCTCTACTATCTTAAAAAAATAAAAAGTCATGAGATCTTTTCATCTTTAAATAAAAAAATAATGTCTCTCTTGTTTATGCAGGATAATTATCTGTCCTCTGTCAGCAGGACAATATCTAGAAGTCTCCTAACTTGCCATCTCAGTTTCCACGCTTTGGAAAGCAGCCTTTTTTCTTCTACAAAAAAAGACTGCAGTAAACTAAAACTCTGCCTTTCTTTCACAGGACAGAAGTGAACCTGTACACTGATGGTACATATGCATGTCTAGCAAAAAAAATACATTAAAGGTGGGATGTAATTAGCCCACACTCCTAGATAACCCACACAAACAGTGCAGACTCTCGCTCCTTCTCCTGACAAACAGCTCCTCCAGCTGCCGGTAGATCTGCTGACTGTATTTGATCTTACATTTCCAGCTATTGCCTTGACACCTTTACATGAGCCTTCTACAGAATGAGAATGTTGTAGACTTCAGTGGGTTAATTTGCAAGTTTGTTTATGAGTGGAATGGGAACAAGGTCTGCCAATTTTAGCACACCTATAGCTTTATCTGGAGGACCTTAAGTGTCATTTGTTTTACACTGCTAATTTCATTCCAAGAAATACCTAATGTTCTTGATTATTCAAGATAATAATAGATACAAGTAATACACCTCGAGAACTAGAGCTAAACTGACATCTTGTAACATGGGTGCAGGCATATAACCCGTGTACAAATGTTCAGATGCTTTCTGACCAGGGCATTGCTTATATTAACTGACCAAGGAGATGCTATCCTGAGTTGCTTAGCCATTGCTTTAGTCATTCCCAGAACACAAGTAAAAAACACCACAGGACTTCATTCAACTATTTTGCAGAAAGTTTCATCCTGATTTAATGCTCTGACACAGGGGGAAAAAAAAATTATCAATTTAATCCATATTTGTGAAGAAAAAGCAGTATTAAAGGAACCTGAAATGACAGAAATGCAAAACCAACACAATTCAAGATGATGGTGACTACAGGAAAGATCAGCCTGTAGAAGGGGGTGTAAATTACATGTTGACAAGTGGGTGAGATTCACAAGTTTGACTTGCATTTTGAAGAGGATAAAGGTTATTTAGCTATATCAGTTTAATGCTTTTCTGATGTGGGCTGGAGAAGTAAAAGCACAAAGCAGAAGCACTACAAACTGTTATGAACACACAGTAATCCCAGTGAGTATTAATATAAATTCTATTAATAGGTCATAACCAAACCTATTAATAGCTTTGTGGTATCTGACTTCACTGTACTCTCTGCAGTGCCACATGCACGAGCCAATTTCTTTAAAGAAACTCACAGAAAGATTTTGTAAAGATTGAACTGTCAAAGGCAGAACAAGCCAGATCAGAATATAAGCAAAACAAATACAGGTCGAGGGTGAGAGAGGAAGTAATGAACTTCAGCATTTCTCATTAGCAACTCTGCCTAACTCACCCTTTCCTCAGATTCTTCAAACACTGCTTGATCCAAGGTAGGAAGAGCTGCATCAATAATACACGGCATTGTGCACAGACTCAGCAAGCAGATGCACAGTGAGAATCTGCTCAGAAGACTCTAGTTCACTCTCTTGGCAGTGAAAGCAGGCAGTGAACCAAGTCGTTTTCCCCCATTATTTTAATACTTGGGGCTTCACAGAATTTTTCAGTAGGAAATTTTAAATAATTGTTTGATAATCCTTCCTTTCTACACAAGGAAGAATCACAAAGAATTAATTTCAACCCCGTTTAACTATGCTTGCCTTTACTAAGTCAGTTATTAAACTTCAGTTTATCCAGCTCTGTCCATTTCCAATCACCTACATCTAACAGTTTAACTCAGCAAAATGGGAGGCCAAAAAGTTTCAAGACACTTAACCCTCCTCTTCTACAAAGGCCTCTTCACAAGCTCTCAGTTTCGCAAAATTACAATCTTCATTTAGGCAGGAAGTCAAATAATCCAATTGTCTTCCACACAAAACCCAAAGTCTGAAGGAACTATACTCCAGATTTCAAACAGGATTTATCAGTCTGCATCTTCCTTTACTGGCAAGTTAATCTCTGCTCCTGTGGTATTCTTGTTTGCTTCAGTGAGAAACAAAACTCATAACCAACAAAACAGTGGGCAAGAAGAAAAACCAAGCTCAGAAGGGTTTGACTCCCAGATTAGTTTAAGCAAGCCATTGAACTTTACTTTGCCAATACTCTCGAAAATACACAAAATTATAATAAAAAAGAAAATAAATCAATTTCTTAAGTTAATACTAAGACCCACTTATTCCCTCTTATCTGCAAGAAAGATTAGTTGCTGTGGAGAAGATTGTACCATAGAGCATACCAGTATCATATCAGACAAATACAACAACTAAGGAAAATAAATCAAACCAGATGACAATTTCACAGCTTGTTTTAAGAAAGATATGCTTACAGAGACACAAAAATCACTGTCTAAGCAACCTGTAGAATCAAAGTTTACTTCCACTGCTCACAGTAGAGAAAGTTATTCTCTGTAAAAGAATTAAAATATTTCAGCCAATTTCTAAGGTACTTCTGCAATGTAAAGCACCTGAAATCACTTAGTAATATAACAGTGAATCTGCTTGCTGATACAAGGCACATAAATCATCTGTCATTGTCCAGTATGCCTTATTAGTAATTAGTAAACCCACTTGTATTTAATCAACATTCTACCCATGTTTTTCTAAAAATTCAGAAAGAGTATGTATGTATATATGTAATTGATGCAACATAAAACACATTCCATTTTACAACACTACTGACATCAGGCTACAGCTAAAAACCCCATGATCCCCCCAAAAAACTGATGACACTACAGTTATAGAGTACACAAAAGGAAGAACATTAAGTTAGCGAGCTCTTATTTCTACAGTTTTGCCAACTTCTGTTTTATTGGCAAGCAGTCAAGTATTCTCCAACCAAAATACTATTATTTTAATACACAATAATGATTTACAGACACAGAATAGAAAAGCAAACCCATACTGCACCCTAACAAACATTTTTTTAAAACTTAAAATTAGTTAAATCAATAACTGAGGCTCGCTGATGTATACTTGCTTCAAAATACATCTACCTACTCAACAGGAAAAGCGAGCTAGATTAAATCAGCATCTACAATCTGCTCTATTAATATTACAAAAAACCTCAAATAGGCATCACAACATTTATTTCTAATACATAATACAAAACCAAGCAAACACTACAGAGTTATTTTTAGAAAACTGAAGTGATTTAAGAAAAACAGTCTAATAATGGTCAGTTTAATGAAAAGATACAAGAAAAAACAAGTTCATTAGAATGCAGATTTTTATATTCACACAACAAGCAGTTTTGCTAAAAAAACGTAATCAATATGTGACTTCCAGCCAAGTTCCACACTAGCAGCAATGAGCACATATCAATCAGTGCTTTAAAGCGAAAACGGTGCCAAGCCGCAGAAGAAAACACCCAGAGAAGTTACAAGACATACCAGAAAACATCTAAGAACTCTGATGACGTATTTAGAGAAATAAAACAGCAATTGTAACTAGGTGTAAACTATTTATTCATAGCAACTAATAAACACTGAGTCATGACTTTAGTCATTGTCCTGTTAGTTCAACATGTATTTTTAACTCCATTTGGGACACAGCAGTTATTTTAAAAACAGACTAGATAAAGCATGCTTCTTCAAAGAAGTCAGCTACTTACCATGGAAGCTAAACTCTCCAGAATTAACAACATTCAGAGAACATACAGTTTCTCTACAAGAAGAAAAAGAGTTCTCACCTGAGTGCATATGTATAGCCAGTGTTCTCTGGCAGACATTGGGGAGGAGTGTACATGTGTAGACGTGAAAAGTCCATGTTGACTGTTTCAAATCATACTGTAAAAGGTGAAAATAAAGTAATGCAATGACTTGAAATTACAGAAAGTCAATGAAGAAGCCTTTGCATTGTTCAGCCTGTGTAATGAAGTATTGAAATACAAAAAGCTACTATTCCCGGAAATCTGGAGCTCTCAGTATTTCAGCAGCATTGCTGCTGATGCTCGATATCCCTGCACGAAGCTCAGTGTATTTCTGACCACAACTTTCTTTATGATACTCTATTTTCAGCAATTTCCGAGTTCTCTAGAACTTTCCTGTAATAGGAGCCAAACTCTTACCACAACTACACTACAACACTTCCACAGGAACTAAGATATGCTAGCATCTTCAAAAGCTAAGCATGAGAGTTTAGAAAGCTACATAGCCATGCCTTCAGAGATCTCCTCACCAGGAGTTTTGTTTTGAAAGCCCACTGAGCAAAGCGCAGGCTGTTCTGTGCGCCAACAAACTGCAACACAGATGAAACCTGAGAAAGTTTTTACATATAGTCAAATCATTTTACTTTACAACCATCCACTAAGCAGCAAGGGAGTTTCATTTGTTTTACATCAAATTGTAATATTTGATTTTAGTTAATTTATTCTTGTCATAAAAAACACTGAATACACACCCTAGCAGAAGAGCCAACTGCAAAATGACTCACATGGCCAGAATTAGGCACATTTTCCAGAGTGCCATCCACTTCCAAAAAACTCTAACCAAACCAAAATCAAAAACCAAACCCAATCCACACTTGTAAAACTTTCCATGGAGTCTTTGGAAGGTATTATAGATTTAGGAAGAAAATAGAAACTGATGTTGTTGTATCAAGCAACTCTCAGCGAGATGCACAGGTGACTACATGTGGCATTATGTACGATTTAACTTTTTAAGTTCAAAATATCTGCAAAAAACCTTAAGCCCTTCTCAGTTTTATTAGACATGAGAAAAGTTTTGCTTTTCTAGAAAAGATTCCTTCATAGTAGGTTATTTGTGGTTAACAAATAGGGATTTGGCCATCCTGGATTTGCATCTTAGCTATTTTCAGATTATCTACAGCTCCTATCTCAGCAGCAGTGAAGATACTCCACACATCTGTGATGACATGCCTAAACTAAGGTAAAAATATCCCTAACTACACTTTAGTTCTTATAATCAAAACATCAACAAATATCTCATTTTGGAGATGCACTTTGCTATGCTGAAATAAGAGTTTTCATTTGTATAGTTACATATACATAAGAAATAAGACAAAAACCAGAAAGCCACAGGTGCAGGTAACAGCAGCTCAAAGAGAAATCTCTACACCTAACACTAAAACACTGTTAGTCAGTCCAGGTGTAGATTCCAAATCCTGAGGTCAAAAAGGCAGGAGGAGATTTTCAGTACTACTAAAGACAGTTTCCCTTTTGTTTTTAAAAATCAAAACTTACAAGCCTAAACATTGTAGCTTTCCGAATGCAAGCACCTCCCATGCATTTGTGGGGTTAAAGAAAAATAAGGTCTCACTTCTCCTATTTACACATCATTTTTTTAATATTACAAAGAAAGCACTTCCATTAAGTTATCTTTCTCTACACTTACTTCACTTGTCCCAGAGCCATGACGCCTTCACTGGCTTATATATAACATTTGTTGTTTGTTTAGAGGAAGCTTAAATCAGTAGTGCGGAAGCATTAGCAAAGCAATCCAATTCTCCTGCTAGAACAAGCAGCAAATACTGCTAAAATACCTAACAACTGCTGTCATATTTTAACAACAAATAAGAGCTCAATTTAGAACATAGGAAATGGGGACCAGAGAGTAATGATTCCCCAGGAACAAAAGTGGAAATACAGTGAATTACAAGACAAGGGATGTTGATAATACCAGATTGTACTTGTTTTAATAGGAAAACAGATTTCTCAGGCAATGCCTATTGAAATTCAAAACTATGATTAAGGTTGATCTGTTTATATCGGTCCATCCCAATAGAAAGACTTTGAAACCACAAGCTAGGGAAACCTCTGTTTAGTTTTTCCATTGCAGCTGATTTTGGCTGCTTAGCTCACACCATTTCATCAATACACCTAGTTTTAACTGGCAACTCAATAGCTGATACCATGCTTCTGACACCCAGCAATATTCTCCTACATGGAGAGCTGAGTGAGCTTTCAGCAGCCACCCAACTCCTCTGTCTCTCCTGCCCATACAGGCAGGGCAAAGGCAGACTCTGGAAAACAACACAGTGGCTCAGTTTCTCTCCTGTTCTTTTCCCCTTCCCACCAGTTCTTTGATTATTTCTGAAGAAATCAAATGCTAGAATTTACATCGTATTTCTTATTTGATAAGGTCTGAAACAGAACATTAAGTTCCTATTAGATAGAATATGTACTTGACAGTGGCACTACTAACTGAAAAGCCTTGAGAGTATTTATGCAGGTCTATGAATAGCTGGTTTTCACAGCACCAAGATCTCCAGAAGAGAACAGATCTGCCATTTAACCACTACATAGCAAGAAATCACTCTTAGAAGATTTAGGAGCTCGGTTTGATTCACTGTTTGTCTCATGCTCTGAAATTAATCCAGACTCAAAGGGAAAAACCTTTACTCAATTTTTCAAAGTCACAAAACAGGTTTAACTGATAAACAGAACTTGAAAATAATGTTCAGAGATTTTCAAAAGCAGCCATCTAAAATTTACTACAAAACTGGATTTTTTAAAAAACCTGACTACTAGTTCAACAGTTTTAGTTATCCATTTCTTCAAAACAAAACCCACTAAAGAAATGATCAACCCAATTTATTTAGAAATATTCTACACACTTATTACAGCAGAACTTTAAACTATGGAACAGACCAGAGGTGGGTGGAGGACAGTAACTCCCTCTAATTTGTTCACTCGTGTTTAACAGCACTCAACCTTTAATATATTAATTTTTCTTGCTTATGAAACTTGCATATACAACTGGAACAGAAAAAGACAGGCTAATAGAATATTTTTGAAATTTAAAACCACTAAACTTGACAAGGGAACCTGAGAGGCAGACACAGTACTTAGTTCCAGCACTAAAGGGTGCCCAGCAGATTTCTGATTTAGGTACCACAGATCTGTCTAGACTCAGATTACCAAAAGCTTACAGTATCAGCTTTGCTACAAGCATTACCAGGCCCAAACTTTCTCCTCCCTCAGAAGCCCATAAACACCTATTTCTAACTACTAAGGGATGTACAGTGAAAGCATATAGTTGCATAAAAAACCCCAAGTCAAAAAAGTAAATTATAAGACACTCTAAAAACAATTAAAGAGAAGCACACATTTCAGCTGGAAGGCAAGTAGACACTAGATGTGCCTCAACTTACAAGCCAACTTCCATGTTCCTGCAGAGGAGAGAGCTGGATTAGTTGTTTTTTTGGGGAAGCAGGCAACAACAATCATCTCAACTATCATCTCTCCTTTGCAACAAAACTGAATCAGTGCTACAATAAATCAGCAGAGTAGAAGGATAGGAGACACAGATTCTGACTTGGCCAGAACACAAGGAAGCACGGGGACTCCTGTAATCAGTGCAGCAGAATTTACCTCCATACAAAGTCCTTTGGCTATCTCCAGAGGATGTGGACTATGAAGCACCTGAGTGACAGGAGACTGCACCACTACCTCGTAAGCCCGTTTAGCTGAAAATTGCTTTCAGAACCAGCCAGCCTCAATGAAACCATAGTACTGCTGCAGCAAACTTCTGGCTTTCATGGAAGGTGACGAGATGCTCTGATAGTGACCTTTAAGCACAGAAGCATCACAAGGGAGTCAGGGCAGCACCAAATTCACATTGTATAAAGACTACAGGCACGTGGCAAATGCAAGGATGAACCCTCACTTATGTCTTCTTGGGTACATAAATATAGACTTCCACAAACACACTATCTAGGCATCTCCTCACCAACAGCCTTTGTGACAACGGAAGTGGTAAACTGACATTTTACAGATGGGACCCTGCTAGAGTAGAAATATTCACCAGCATGTCTGCTATAGAATGATAAAACTTTCAAGAAAGCATTACTTATTTTTTACATTACAAGGGGTAAAAAAAAATTATACATTTAAAGTCTTAGAGAGATGTTAGTAGTTACTACTTCAGGCAGAATCTATTCTATCCTTATCTTTTAAAGCAAATAAACTAAGTTTAAGTCGTTATGATCTAACATACTAACACCAAAAAAGCTCAACAGACTTTCAGGCAAATTATTAGTAACAGTGAAACTAGAGCACGCAACCCTGTCAGTTCCTGAGAGCAAGCTATTTTTACTCGTAATTTCAAATTTTATTTTCTACTATTATTTAGAATAACCAATTAAATTACTCTTTTTGGTAAAAAAAAAAAAAAAAAGAAGACAAATTTCTAAGTAAATATACTCCACAAAGACTGTTTCCACATACCAAATTAACTACTAGTTTAAACAGGCTGAAGAGCAAAGAGCTCCAAGCTAAATCAATGTTTTATTAGAACATTTATTCTTAACACATTAGTATTCCTTTAAAATAAAAACACAGAAGTAAACAATCAAGAAATTGCAAAGTGATAGAATTCACATTTTAAATTAGATGTTACCATTGAGTACTCTGGCAGAGATCAGCAAACACAGGTGTCAAATTGTAACGCTACTAACGAGAAAACAATAAAGAGGTTCTTCAGAAAGCGGCAATATTGCATATGCACATTAAGTACTTCTTGAAATGTTTTCCGAAAGAAAGGCTGACAGAAACCAGCTGTAGTTTCAGCTGCGGTGGAACCAGACACACGGCCGCTCATTGTTTACACGCCCGGCACCTGACTCGGAGCGCGGCACATGCCCGCCGGCACACGCAGGCCCCGCCGCGCCGCCTCACCAGGCCTCGCCGTTCACACACGCTCGGCGCCTCGCTCCAGGCCTCCCCCATCAGACTCCACAGGCCGCCACCGAACCAGGGAGTCCCGCAGCGCTCCCGCAGCTCCGCCCC